TTTAATCCTAGCCTTCTGGAGACAGAGATGCATCCAGATCTCTGTGAGTTCAAGGCCACACTGGAAATAGCCAGGCATGGTGTCACACACCCTTAATCCCAGCATTTGAGATCTCATGTCCTTGCTTGGGAAAGACACATGCCTTTAATCCCAGAAAGTGATGGCAGGAAGCAGAAAGGTATATAAGGCATGAGGACCAGGAACTAGAGGCTTTCAAGCTTTTAGGCTTTTTAGCATCAGTTCAGCAGAGACACTTTTGGGTGAAGACTCAGAGGCTTGCAGTCTGAGGAAACAAGATCAGCTGAGGAGTTGGTGAGGTGAGGTTGGCTGTGGCTTGTTCTATCTCTCTGATCTTTCAGAATTTACCCCAATGTCTGGCTCCAGGTTTTTTATTAATAAGACTGTTTAGCAATTCGTGTTACACCAAATGTCTAAGCAGCACATAGCAAGTTTATCACAGCAAAGGCATCACTACAGGTTTCTGTCTCAGTTACTTTATATTCTTCTGATAAAATACTCAGCAAAATCATCTTAAGGGAAAAGAGACTAATGTAGGATGCTAGTTCAGGGAGATACATTTCATCTTGGTGAAAAAAGATAGTGGTGTGCAGGTAAGGCATGGTCGCACTGCATCTGCACCCACTACTCAGAGCAGGGAGTGAGCAGGAAGTGGTGCTGAGCTATACAGCCATTAGGTCCAGCCCCAGTGATGACTTTGTCAAGCTGGGCCCCACCTCTTGAAGGTACCACAACTTTCCCATACAGCATCATTGGACAAGGCCCAAGTGTTCAACCACATGAGCCATGGGAGGCATTCCACATTCAAACTGGAACACATGGGCATTTACAATACTTATGCATTTTGGTGTTTACATTCCATCAACTGCAGATATAGTAATTATCTATTTAATTGGTTAATAAATAAAAACAGTCATTTAATCAGCTATAATATGTTATACTAATTTGGGTCATCTTTGTGTTTAAAATCCATTGATTTATAAAGTTGCATTTATTTATTTATTGTGTGTGTATGCATGTATATGCACACACTTGCTCATGTGTGAAGGTGTGCATGTGGAGATCAGAGGACAACTTGGAGGAGTTGGTTTTCTCCTTCTGCCATATGAGTTCTAAAACTCAAACTCGGGGGTTCTGTTACAGGTGTCTTTACTTACTGAGCTTTGGTATTGGCCCTGCTAAGTCAATCTGTAACTACAATAAGATGCGTAGCACTACCCAATTTAAGTAAGGACAGTAAGATTGTGGTATATTGTTAAGTATATCTTTATTATTACTTTTATTTTTTTTTGTATGGGCTCATCACATGAATAGCATAGATCAGAATTCCACCTTACTTAATTCTTAATAACTTACTTTTGTTCAAATTATTTAACCTAAGCTTCAATTTCTGAATCTGAAAAGTGAGCATATTACTTTGTATGCTTTACTGCATTAGTTGACATTAGATAAATTGTTGACGAATGTTTGAAACAGTATCCAGCTTATAAACGTTGCTAATCTCCTAAAAGATACTGTTATCTTTCTGCTGTGAATTTAACTACAGCAGTAATCTATGTCAATGTTTCTGTTATATAACTCTGTCTTAATATATTTTAATATGGTTTGCATTTCATTGTTTTTAATATTTTCCCCAGATTTAGAACTTCAAGTCCTTTAAAGTGAAAAATATGCTCAACAGATTTGTACTATGTGTGTATACTTTGATTTACTTTAGTAAGTACAGAACTTATTAAACTTAAGATTACATCGTCATTTCTGTAGTCTTAGTTGATGCTAGTAATTTACTACCTGTAAGTCTCTGAAAGTAGTGGGGAAACAAACCTCAATCTGCCCTTTAAATAAAGTTACACATTGTTTTCTAAAAATGAAAAAAATATAAACATTGAGCTGGAGAGATGGCTCAGTGGTTAAGATTGCTTGCTCCACAATAAGTGAAGACCATAGGAGTTTGGATACCATCATCTACATAACATGCAGGGCAGCAGGGTGGGGGGTGGGGGGTGGTTCCCTGTAAACACCTCCAACTCCAGCACCAATATGGAGGAGACAGGAGGATGTCTGTGGCTGACTAGCTTCCAGCCTGGCTGAGACATAAGTCCTCAATTCAAGAAGGGACTCTCTCTCAGGGGAACAAAGGCAGAGTTGTGGAGGCAGACCTTGACACCCTCTTTTGGCCTCTTCTCAAGTGCACAGGCATACATGCATCTGTACAAACAAGTGTGTGTAAATTTACACAAATTCATATATATATATATGTATATAATTAAAATATAAAAATGAATCTTCATAAAAATGCCCATTGGAATAAAACACAAATAAATGTTTAAGTTGGGCTGACTACATAACAAACTAAATAACAAAAAGCTACTGAATGGCAGGAGAGAAATTAGTTCTCTAATCTTAGTAGAGTCTTGTACTTGAGTAACTTGAGTACTCTTCTAGAGAAAATGCCAAGTAGTATTTGGAAGTATACAAGGTTCTCCTGAGCGTCAGGGGACAGAAAGAATTCTCTGGTAAATCCAGGAACTTATGCCCATTAAAAATAAACCTACCCATGGAAGTTTCTAACAGCTATTTTTTTTTAGTTTAATTATTTGTGTGTGTGTGTGTGTGTGTGTGTGTGTGTGTGTGTGTGTGTGTGTGTGGTTATGGGCATATGTGTGCTACAGCATTCAGAAGTTTCTCTCCTTCCACCATGTGAAGTCTGGGGATTGAACTCAGGACATCAGGCTTGGTAGCAAGTACCTCTACCTGCTAAGGCAGCTCTCCAGGCCTACTGCTATTTTTAGAATTATAAGACCTTTGAAATCAATCAGGATGTCCTTCAGTGGGTGACTGGAGAAGTACACTCTGTCAATCCATTCCGTATAATATCATTCAAGATTGAGCAGTGCAGTCAGGAAAAGCCATCTGAACACATAAATATACATTGAGGGAATGAAGCCAATCTTGGCAGGCTGTCCATTGTGTGATTCTAACAACATGCCAGAGTACAAAAGGTGAAATTGTGGATTAGTGGTTTCCACAGTTTGGGGTGGAAAGGATGAATCGGTAAGGAACACAGCATTGATAAGGTAGTGGAAGTACTAAGTGTGATACTGCATTGGCAGTTGTGCCATTACACATTTTTACAGACACGTAGTACACCACAGTAGGCACCACACATGAACTCAATATGAACTCTAAGTACAGTTGTATATAAATGCAGAGCTATGCTTGTGTGGGTATAGAGAGTAAGTGGAAAATGTGTGTAACCTTTACTTGATATTATTATGAACTACTCTAAAATAGTCTTAAAATTATCAAATAAAAAAAAGAAAGGTGATTCTCTATATCCAGAAGAGTCGTATTTGAGCTATGAGCTGAGAAAATGAGGATGTAGGGTGATAAAAATGTTTATTTTAATATAATGAATAATAATAGTGTCGGAACTGACCAACATGTCCATCCACATGAAGACTTTTCTGTAGTGATGTGCAAATATAATTAGCCAGTGTAGTTTTGTGGAAGACCCTGTTAAGAGTATGTCATATACAGTTTCCTTTCTATGGTAAAGACAAACCACATACTGTTAAAACAATGCTCATGGCTTCAGGCACAGCATCATAGCAATTCTGTTCCCTTTTGCTGGTATCTTAGTTAGGTTTTCTATTGCTGTGAAGAAACACCATGACCATGGCAACTCTTATAAAGGAAAAGAAGTAACTAGCTTACAGTTCAGAGGTTTAGTCCATTATTGTCATGGTGGGAAGCAAGGCAGCATGCAGGCAGACACGGTGAAGAGAGAAAGAGCTGAGAGTTCTTACATCTTGACTCACAGGCAGCAGGAAGTGGTCTCTCTCACTGACCACACCTATTCCAACAAGGCCACACCTCCAAATAGTGCTCCCTTTGGGGGCCATTTTCTTTGAAACAACCATATTTCACTCCCTGGCCACCAAATATTTGTAGCCATATCATAATGCAAAATACATTTAGTCAACTTCAAAAGTCCCAATGGTCTGTTACAGTCTCAGCAAAATTTAAAAGTCCAAAGTTTAAAGTCTCTCCTCAGATTCATGCAATCTCTAAACTATAATCTCCCACAAAATGAAAATCAGCCGGGCGGTGGTGGCACATGCCTTTAATCCCAGCACTTGGGAGGCAGAGTCAGGTGGATCTCTGTGAGTTCGAGGCCAACCTGGGCTACCAAGTGAGTTCCAGGAGAGGCTCAAAGCTGCACAGAGAAACCCTGTCTTGAAAAACAAACGAAAGAAAGAAAGAAAGAAAGAAAGAAAGAAAGAAAGAAAGAAAGAAAGAAAGAAAGAAAGAAAGAAAGAAAGAAAGAAAATCAAAAAACATTTAATGGCACAGGATATACATTACCATTCTAAAATGTAGGGAAGGGAGCATAACCAGGAAATACTGAACCAAAGCAAGACTGAAAACCAGCTGGGCAAACTCCAAACTCTGCACCTCCATGTCTGATGTCTAAGTGTTCTTCAAATTTCCAACTCCCTTCAGCTTGGTTGATTGCAACACACTTCTTTCTCTTGGGTTGGTTGCATTCCCTGCTGTGAGCTTTCCTCTGCATGTATCCCATGACTCTGGCATCTCTAACTCTTGGGGTCTCCAAGGCAATCCAAGTTTCAACTTCACAGCTTCACACAATCACAATGATCTCTCTAGGCCTCCTTTCAGGGATACCCCTGACACATGCCTGGCCTCAGCAGTTTTCTTAGTTTCAGAGGGAGAGATTCCATAACCTTTCTTCTATCCTTGTCTCTAAAGCCAGAACCATGTGGCCAAAGCAGTCAAGTTCTGCTGCTTGCTGGGGATGGAACATGGCCCCCTTGTTCAATTACATCTTAATCAGCTTTCTGTTTTCAATGTTTGCCTTCACTGCCTAAGCTTGGCTGTTCTGGACTTGCTATGTACACCAGGCTGGCCTCAAACTCAGAGATCCAACAGCCTCTGCCCCTGGAGTGCTAGGATTAAAGGCATGTTCCAATACAACTGGCTCTAAGCTTCTCTTTAATTCCTTTTCATAAGTTGGAAACTTAGCTGGGTGGGATGTAGATGTAACGGTCTTATTAAATAAGAAACACAGAGCCAAATGCAGAGTTAAAAACCTAAGAGGTCAGAGCAGTAGCTAAGAGCTGAGACTTAAACCACCTTCTTACCACCCACTGCTGCTGACATCCTTCCCCTGAGAAAGAGACCTACTTCCTGTGTGTCTGTCTTTTTATTGACTTTCTGTTCTGCCTTCTCTTTGATTGTAAACCCAACTACATGATCTCCTCATCACTGCCTGTCTATTCAGACCTCCAGGTCTTCTATGGTTGGTATTGAGATTAAAGGCATGTTTCTGCATGCTGGTGGTGTCCTTGAACACACAGAGATCTGCCTGTCATGTGATCGGGATTAAGGGCATGTGCTGCCACTGCCAGACTTCTGCTATGGCTTGCTATTAGCTCTGACCCCCAGGTAACTTTATTTATTAACATACAAATAAAATCACATTTTAGCACTAATAAAATATCATCATAGTGGGATCTTGCCCTGAGGTCACCACTCCTTTTATTACATTTATTAATTTGTTTATCTCCTTGAATAAAGGACTTAGCTTCATTCCACTTTGTGGTGCTCCTTTTCTCCTCAAATATTTTTCATTGCTCAGCTTGTTTCTTTTCATTATATATCTTCATTAGAGTTAAAACTGGTAACCACACAACAGAGTCTATACTAGGCAATTTTGAGATTTCCTTTGCTAATAGAATTAATTTAAAACTCTTTACCTTAGCCTCAGGCAGACTCTTCAGACAAGGAGAAAAAGCAGCTTCATTCTTCATCAAAAAGACTGGCCTCTGGGGCACATACTAACATTCTCCTCTGAAACCTCTTGATCCAGGTACCTACAATTCAAATCACACTCAGCACCACTGTCTTCCATGTTGTCTAGGATGACCCATTTAGCACCACTCAAAAAAGAACTTCAGCTGTTTTTCTAATCCATAGTCCCAAGGTCCATATTCCTTAAAATAAAAAACACAGTCAGGCCTATCACAGCAATACTTGACTCCTAGTACGAACTTCTGTCTTTGGGTTTCTGTTACTGTGAAGAGACACCTTGACCATGATAACTTTTATAAAGGAAAACATTTAATTGTGGTGGCTCACTTACAGTTCAGAGGAAGCAAGGCAGCATGCAGGCAGACATGTTCCTGGAGAAGGAACTGAGAGTTATGTCTTGATTTACAGGCAACTGCAAGTGGTCTATCTCACTGGGTGTGCCTTGAGCATAGGAGACCTCAAAGCCTGCCCCCACAGTGACACACATCCTCCAACAAGAACACACCTACTCCAACAAGGCCACACCTCCTAATAGTGCCACTCCCTTTGGGGGCCATTTTCTTTCAAACCACCATAGCCAGCTTCCCTTGTACTAAGGACTCGTCACATGATCCATGTCTGGTCAATGAGATCTAAATTGTAGTCTGTTGAGGGATTAGGAAAAATGATTTTTCTTTTTGGTAAAGGGGCAAATGTTGTTGACAATGATGGTCATCTATCAGAGACATTATGTTAAATGAGAAAGTTTTCATTAAGCTAAGGCCAATAGGTTCTCTAATACTTGGTTTTGAATATTTAGGTTGATTATCATAATGGACTTTATTTGTGAACTATACTCTATGGAAGTCAACTGCCTTAGTTAATATCACATCTCATGGCAAACTACTTGGGATTGTGATGGTCCCACCCTCTTTATTCAATCTGAAATCCTTTGTGGTTACTGCACCATTGCCTGGCTTCCCTTTCTTCTGGTCTCCTTCTTTTCCTTGTAGATTCTAATTTCAAGGGGTTACTAGTAAACTTCCTATAGACCTATTGATACATCACACTCAATATCTGGGAGTCAGAAGGGGGTTTAACCAGCATACCTCATATGTCCCTACAAATAAAATTTTGTATCCATATTTGTTCTCTATTCAGTACAGGCGTATCTTAGGGATGTGGTGAATATGCAAGTTCAGCTTCAGACTACCATAGTGAAGTGGATGTCATAATAAATTGAGTCATATAATTTTTTTCAGTTCATTAGTTTACATTATACTACAGTCTATTAGGTTTGCAATAGCATTATAACTACAGAAAATGGTATCTTTCATTAAAAATACTTTATTGCTAAAAAAAATCTAACACTGGTCTGGGTCTTAAACACATCATAATTAGTTTGTTTATATGAGCTCTTTGCTCTCTGTTGGTGGTTGCTAGCTGATCAGGTTGATGTTCATTATAAATTGGGGTGCCTGTGGCAGTTTCTTAAAATAGGATAACATTTCCCACATGGCAGCACTTTACCCACTGCAGAATGTCTTTCAGAATGGGAATCAGTCTCCCCAGACCCTGCCACTGCTGTGTCAATCACGTTCACATCCTATTCTAAATTCTTGGCTGTCATTTAAGCAGTGTTCCCAGGATCCTCCCCACAAATTGATTCTATTAGAAGAATCTACCCTCTGCTAACCCCTAAGAAGCAATTCTGCATCCGTGATTCCATCATGACATTGTAGCAGTTTCTTTCCTTTTCTTCTCAATCTACACATCTCATGCTAGGTTTCTTACTGTTTCTACTGCATCCAGTGAAGTCTACGACTACCCAAACCAGTTTGAGGATGTCAATCAACTTCTTCCAAACTCTGCACAGGTCGATATACAAATCACCAATATTTTAATGCCATTGCAGTGGTGAATCATTTCTAGAAGGTTTTAAATTTACTTTCTATCATAGGAATCAGTGTGACAAATAATGACTTATGAAATCTATTTCTTAACAAGATTGGAATTGTTCCTTGATCCATGCTTTTAGGAAGGATGTTGTGTTAACGGGTATGGAAACAATATTAGTTTTGTTGTGTATTTCCGTCAGTGCTCTTAAGTGATTAGGTGCCATGTCACTGAGTAATGCTACTTTAAAAGCAGTATTTTTTCCCTGAGCAATAGCAGCTCTCCTACTCAGTGAATAATGCTGGAAACAGATGTGCTGCCAGCCAGGCCCTGTTGCTCCATTTGCATACTTCCAGCAAAGTTGATTGATTACAATTCTTTTATTATTATTATTATTATTATTATTATTATTAAGAAAATTTCTAGTCATTTTACATGCCAACTACAGATCCCCCTCCCTTCCCTCCTCTCCCCTCTCAGCCTTTCCCTCCCCAACCCTCCCCCCATTCCCACCTCCTCCAAGGCAAGTACTCAGAGTACAATTCTTAAGAGCCTTAGGATTTATGGGTGGCAAAGGAAGATTAGTGTTAGCTCAAAGTGACCAACTATAAAAGCCCCCAAGAGGAGAGTCAACCTATCTTTTGAAGCATCGAAGTCAGTCTTTGACTTTTTTTCAGTAGTTATGGAAGTTCTAGATAGAATTTTATTTTGAGGCAGGGGTGTTTCATCTATATTGGAAGTCTTTTGTTTAGTGTAGCCATTGTCAACTTAAAGGGCAAGTTGAGGAATAACAGATGGGAAGCAGAGTGTTTATTAGAGATGCATGGGTATGACCATGATGGGAAGATCATGCATTCTAGTTGATAGTCCTCCTGAAATATTTGAAGATTCTGTTTCTGGGTTTTTGTTTGTTTGTTTGTTTGTTTTCAAAGACATTACATCAAACTGGGTAATACAGTCACATAGGTTGACAAGAATAGCACAGGACATTGATTAGGGGATTGGTCACTTATATTCTCAGGCCATCTGGGAGTCCCAGTCATCAGTTACCACTTTTGGCACACAAAGTGGAGATTCCAAATGTTTTAGAATCCTTTGGCAAGGAGCAAGAGGCAGAAACCAAATATATACTTGTTATTATATTACAGCATTACAACATGATTTAGTGCTGCTAAGGACTGGGTATACAGTTTTAAAAAGCTTTCAATGCCCTGGTGAAGTATGCTTTTGCCCAAATAGAGATCATCTGTGGTGCTGAATGTGACATTTCAGGAGAACTTTATCTTGTGATGAGTTTCAATTCTGAAAGGATTCAGCTTCAGCAGAAAACTCCAACTGGCCATCTGTAGTCAGTACTAAAAGCGGTGCTTATTGACCTTTCTATTTCAAAAGAACTATTTCGAATCAATCATGCAAGAGACCTTTTGATGGTAATGTACAAAGCATCAATCCAAATAGACCTCCTTTGCAGAAAGCCATGAAGAATCAATAGTGCCTTTTTTTCTGAATGCTCAACTCACAAGGCTTTTCAGAACCAGTATAGTGTTGTCAATATAAAGGATTTGAAGCCTATTTGATTATTAAGAGATTTCCATTTATTGAGAATATGGTGGAGCTAATTTATCTTTGATTTATAAGAAAACAAATTGCCAATGATTTTCGTTTCCTGTATTTTTTTAAGTGTGTAATGCACATACTCAGAGATTGTCCCAAATTTTTATTAAAGAGAAGCCACTTCAGGTTACCTAAGTCAATAGTTTACAAAAACAAATATTATTCTGAGAAATATTTTAAACACATATAAATTTTAAAATAGAGTTGTTATTTAGGTCTTTTCTACTTTTGTTTTTCGAGACTTCTATCCTTGAAAACCTTTTAAAAAGTATAGTTGTGACAGGGAATTTAACTCATTTGTGAGCCAAACTAAAAAATATTGACATCTTATTACTTTAGGATAGCATAATAGAAAATATTGCCTACCATCTAATTGGTATTACTTTATAATTGCTACCATGTAATGATTTTGTGTACCTGAAGGGCTTTAAGCTGTATCATATGACAATTTATTTCACAATGAAAAAGTTGTACTAACTCTTGTTATATCAATCAGAAGGCTGATTAGAAGTGCCCGATACACTTTCTTTCAAGGTAAAGACACAACAGGTCTCCTACTAGGGTGTGTTACAGAGTGGCGAGTTGGTGTGACAAAGATGTTGCAGAGCCTAGAGATGGGGGACAATCTTCTGATGAAGTCCCTAAGTACACATCGCCCATTGTTCTACTTAAGTACAGCCTCCAACCAAGGGACCTAACTCCTCAAGGAAATAAGAAGCAAGAGTTTCCCAGCAGTCTTTACTCAAGCCGTCAT